TTTGCTTTTCTCTCGTCTCATGTCTTCCCTGCCGTGCCTCCCACATTCTTCCCCAAGGCTGGCCCCCAGCAACCACAGGGTAAGACCGATCTTCAGGGGGGCAAGCAGCACCTCTGGGCCCCAGAGTACCCGTCCTTCCTCTCTCGCTCTCCCCCACATCCACAGTCACCCTTCGACACTCTCTGGGCTCCAGACACACACTCTGACCCTTTCTGCTTGTGACGGCACCGGCGTTAATAGCAGGGACCCAGACTGAGCTGGCCTGTGTAGACTAACCTCGGGTGACTTACTTAAGTCCTGCGGTCTCACCTGTAAAATGGGGCTGATTCTTCCCAAAGAATGAATTGTGAACAAGCGAGTTATTAATAGAAAGTGCTCACACCAGCAGCTGGCACAGCTGGTGCCAAGGACATTAGCTGCTACTATTGTGCCCTCTTGTAACGCTTCTCTCTTCCTCACACACCTCCGAAGTGTCCGCTCATCTGCGAACCGCGACCTTTGTGAAACATGACTCCGAGTTTCGAGGGTCGTGTTTATTCCCTGTTCTCTGTGCTTTCCTCGAATTTTGTGTAAACAGTTCAGAGTAACAGCACGGGACCCAGTCACCTGAAAGTCTTCCCCCGGTGACTGTGAGCTCCTGAGAGGCACCGGCCACTTCTGATGCACAGCTAGGTCCCCAGAGCCTCGGAGAATGTCTAGTACACAGCATCTAATATGTGCTTGCAAAGTCAACGTCCGTCATGCGACAGAAACTCCTGGGCCAGCCGCTGGTTCCGCTCACGGTCTACCTGCTGCCACGCTCCCCTCAGCCACCCCGACGACAGCCGACGTCCAGCAGCGGCTCCGCCGATTTCCATCCCGTCCGTAAGCCCCAGCCTCCGGACCACGGCCTTCAAGTCCTGCAGGACTGGAGGACTGGCTCTCCCTGTGCGTGTCTGACAGTCTCCCTGCGCTCAGCTCTCCTGCCAAGCCGGCCGCCCCGTTCGGCCCCGTGTGAGATAAAGATCATGTTCACTCGCTTCTCCCTCTATTTGGAATATTATTTCCCAGGCTCCTCCACAGTTCCTTTCTTCACGCCCATCCACTCCCACGTCCGACACCAGCCCCCCTCTATCGAACTCTCCCAACCACCTGGGCTGCGTGAGCCCTTTGCCCTCCAGTTACCCTCTGCCCCACCACTTGCTGATGTCCTTGAGGGCTTGGGTCCAAATCTGGAATGTTTCTTTGTTTTCTTCGTTTCCTGACCCATCCCACGGGGATGAGGACCCCATCAGGGCGGGCTCTGTCTGCTCCTTCCCCACACTCACGGAGTCCTACAAACAGCACCTTCACGGAGCAGGGGTTCAGAAGCCATGTCTGAAATAAAGGAATAAATAAAATGAGATCTTTTGTATCTATGTATTATTTTTTATTGATTTTTTTTTTTTTTTTTTTTTTAGAGAGAGAGGAAGGGAGAGATAGAAACATCCAAGTGAGAGAGAAACATCAGTCCGCTGCCTCCTGCACGCCCCCTACCGGGGATTGAGCCCACAACCGGGGCATGTGCCCTGACCGGGAATTGAACCGGGACCTCTAGGTCCATGGGATGATGCTCAATCCAATGAGCCAGCTAAAAATGAGATCTTTTGAGAACCAAGCTCTCCCACATCGCCAGGCTCATCCGGCAGGGCACATCGTAGAATAAGGGTCCAATGCTTTCTGTGCGTCAGGGAAAGGGTAGGACTTCTCAGGTTAGCCTGCTGGACTTGTCCCGGCTCCTCAAACACGGTCGAGTCCCAGCGCGAAAACTAAGCCAACTTGTGGAACGGTTTCCCAAGTGTTCTTGAAAGTATGAAAATGCCCAAGAAAGCAAGAAATCGTAATTAAAGAAGTAAATGACCACAACAGATTCGTTAGGAGGACCTGGTTTCCATGAACCCCGACGGTGAATCCGGCAGCCGCTTCAGCTCCCAAGGAGAAAGACAGCCAGTCGTCTGTGAATGAAACGCACAGAATGAGCATTGCACGTTGTTACCTGCCGTGTTTAACCTCACAGTCAACAGTATCTGCCTAGCACTTTCCAGTTGGGAAACGCCTCTGTTGACACAGTGTATCGGATACGGTGAGACTGAGCCACAGGACTGCACAGCATGGACCTTCTCTGTGCAAGTCACGGCCCTTGTCAGCTTCCTTTCTGCTAACGCGAAGATGTCAGTCTAGACGGTCTTAAATCCCATTTGGCTCATCTGTGGCGCTATTTATATCCCATTTAGGACAACTCAGGCTTCTCTTCGATCTCGGTCCAAGATATCAAGTTCTAACGGGTCTTCTCTCATGTGTCTCAAATCTAATTATTTGAATGATCCCTCTCTTGGGTGACCTCCTCTCCCTTTTAATTTTTTGTAATCCTTGCCCAAGGTTATGTTTATTAATTTTAGAGGGACAGGAGGGGGGAGAGAGAAAGAAAAACATCGAGGTGAGACAGAAACGTCAATCTGTTCCTCCCAAACATGACCCAACTGGGGACCCAAGGTGCAACGTTTTGGTGTGCAGGATGGCGCTCCGATCAACCGAGCCACCTGGCCAAGGTCCTTACCTTCCTTTGCCTTTCCTCTGTGATGCCATCTCTGACCACCCCGTCTCCCCGGGTCGCCCCTCTTTGGCTTGATGGTCTCTGGCACTTTGCGCCGCGCTAGAGTCTTTGCCACCAGAGAAATTCACTTGTCCTGTGCTTCCCCTCGTGCAAATGTTGCTCCATCGCTAATCTAATCATGTTTGTTTAATCTTTACAGGATACTTTTCCTGTCATTTAAACGCATCTTCTAGCGAGTAAGCCCTGCCCCTTTATTTCTGTGCTCATGTGGCGGGGTGACGTGGGCCGTGCAGAGTGATCGGGTCTCAGCGGTGGCGGGGATGGGTCCTAGCACTTCGCCTTCCGAATCCTCGGGCGCCTTCCGGTCTCTCGGGCACCCCTCCATTCTGCATTTCCTTCACTTAATCACTTGATGTCTTCGCGCCTTATACGTCGAGAGCAGCTCACTGCCCTGAGCCCGGGAGCCCGAGGCAGTTTTTCCCTTACTCTCAGCTTGGCTGCACGGAGCTGGTCCCTCTGCAGCTACGACTGTTGAAACACCTGCTCGGTTCTTTGAAGGACTCAGTCCATCCTCTCGTGGACAAGAGACACTCACTGTCCAGGTGCTCGGCAGTGCCCGTGGGGTCCAGCCGCCTACGCTCGCTCTGAAGACGGGTGACGGGCAAGGCAAACTACATACTGTTCTCTTCTCCTCCTCTCTCGCGATATATTTTCCTATCTTTACTGTTGAAAGTATTACAGATGTTCCCTCTTTTTTCCCCATTAACCCCCTCCTCTTCACCCCCCCCCCTTTTGCCTTCCCCACACTATTGTCTGTGTCCATGGGTTGTGCATATACGCATATCGGTTCTTTGGTTTGTCTCTTCCCACCCCATCCCTCTGATGTTTGTCAGTCTGTTCCCTACTTCCATGTCTCTGGATCTATTTTGATTGTCAGTTTATTTGGTTCTTTATATTCCATAGATAAGTAGATCATGTGGTATTTGTCTTTGACTGGCTTATTTTGCTTAGGATAATACTCTCCAGGTCCCTCCATGTTGTCTCAAAGGATAAGAGATCTTTCTTTCTTACAGCTGCATAGTACTCCACTGTGTAAATGTACCACAGCTTTTTTATCCACTCATCTACTGATGGGCACTTGGGCTGTTTCCAGATCTTAGCAATTGTAAATAGTGCTACTATGAACATGTATTCTTTCTGTTTGGTGTTTCGGGCTTCTTAGGGTATATTCCTAGAAGTGTGATCTCTGGGTCAAATGGCAGTTCCATTTTTAATTTTTTGAGGAAACACCACTTTGTTTTCCATACTGGCTGCCCCAGTCTGCATTCCCACCAGCAGTGTACTAGGGTCCCCTTTTCTCCACACCCTCGCCAGCACCTGTTTGAGGATTTATCAATGGCAGCCTCTGGATATTTTGAAATCCGGTTTGGAGATTTGGAGCACATAAAACACGACAGGGTAGAAGTCCATTTGCAGACGAGGGAGGATGTCTTTATCTGTCCCCTGGTCCGTGGCTGCTGTGGTGCATATTTTCACTGGAGACACAAGGGTTTTCACTGCCCAGCTGACTGCTGGGGTTCTGGAAACTGACTCTGTGCTGAGGTTCTGGAAACTGACTCTGCTGGGGTTCTGGAAACTGACTCTGCTGGGGTTCTGGAAACTGACTCTGCTGGGGTTCTGGAAACTGACTCTGCTGGGGTTCTGGAAACTGACTCTGCTGGGGTTCTGGAAACTGACTCTGCTGGGGTTCTGGAAACTGACTCTGCACTGAGGTTCTGGAAACTCGCAGGGCCGGGCTGAGCACAGATGGAGCTGGTCGGTCTGTCCTTCTGGGCCAGCTCCCCTCCCGGTGTGAACCTGACCACCCACCCTAAGGCCAGCTCTGCAGGTCCCGACCTGCCAACAGTGAGGGTGAGAGCTGGGACCCTAGGCCCCTCTATTTCTATTTCTAATTTTTTAAAAAAAGGACGCATGGCGAGAGTCAGCCCAGCCAAGTCCCTGAGCTCCTGCTGGGACCCCTCCATTCAGGAGGCAACGCTCCTTGGCACTGTTTTCGCAGAAAAATGAGTAAACGTCATCGTTTGCCGCATCCAAGCCCCCTCTTCCCTCTTCTAGAAGCGCAGCGCGGCGGCCGCACGGAGCCCCGAGAAGGGCTTCTCTGCGCATCTGTTTCGCAGACGTTTTCCTGCGGGTCCCGCGGCGGGAGCCCGGCCCCGCCCCCGCCCCGAGGCGGCCGCAGCCAACGGAACGGGGCCGTCACGGCGACGCTGATTGGCTGCAGTGGCCGGAGCGGGCTGTCACGGCGACGCTGATTGGCTGCCCGGCGGTGGCTGGGCTTTAAGAGAGACCTGCAGGCTGGGCAGGGAGCGGGATCCTGTCGCGTCCTCGTGCGGAAGGTCCGAGCGCGCTGCCCAGCTGCCCCGCTGCCCAGGTGCCCAGCTGCCCAGCTCCGGCCGCCGCCGTCCTCCCCGCGAGCTCGGACCCGCGCTGCAGAGATGTGCAAGGGTCTAGCAGGGCTGCCCGCTTCCTGCTTGCGGAGGTAAGTGACCTTCCGCCCCGGCCGGCCCCACGCGGTTGTCACACGTCCTGCGTGCGAACCCGGTTCTTGGGGTGATGGTCCCCGTGGTCAGTGGGGCATCAGCGCCCCGGCTGTCCTCCAAGACGAGCTAGAAACGGTGAGGGGAGACGTGTGTGCTCCCCCACTGTGGGCACCTCGGTGTTGCTGTCATTGACCTTGGTTTGAGGACTGCTGTGACCCTCTGCCCAGGGCAGCCCCGAAGAAGGCGGGGAGGGTCTGCCGCCTGGCTGGTCTGTGTATCTCAGCCGTGATGGGTGCTGTCTGGGCATCGCTGGGGCACACAGGCCCCCGCCGGGGCTCCAGGACAGCACACACCCCGGGGTGAGGTCTGCCACCCCCCCACCCCCGGGAAGCGCTGTGCTCTGCGTGGGGCTGAGTATCTGTCACTCTCTGTGTTCTTACAAGCAACTGTCACAATAAACCGTGAGGGCAGAGCCAGACCCCCATCTCTGCCCCTCCGCCGGGTTCGCAGGTGTCTTGTGTGGGTGGCGGTTGAGAAGGATTGGTCATCACACATCGGCTGGGGGCTCTGTGGACGGTCTCTCCCTAATGACATTGTTTTCTCATGTACCATGTCTTGATTTAAAAAAACACAACAACAACAAACCCATAAAGATATGCAGTTACTCCCGTGTCTTTGGCTTTTAAAAATAGATGCAAATTAATGCCGTCAGAGACTGTTTCTCTGCCGGCCCGCTGAAGTAAAATAAAAACCCGTGTGGATTACGTGAGCTCATCTCGCAGAGAAGGGCAGGGAGCCAGTCTGTAGCCGAAGGTCCCTCTCCTCTCCCTGTGGATAGAAACCACGGCAACTTTCAGGTTGGAAATTTCCCAGAAAGCCCCGTGTCCTGTGCGTTCCCGGGGACGCCTACCCTGCAGGCACTGGGTCACTCAGGAGTGGGAGGGACAGTCCGCGTTCACGTTCTTCCCAGCCGCTCTGACGTGCAGCAGGAGGGCCTGGCAGAAAGTGAGCTAAGTGACCCCCACCAGCAGCCCCTGAAACGAGGGGAGCCCCAAGCTTCAGCTCACTTTCACGGGAAATTAACTGTCAAAGCACGAGGGTGGGAGGGAGTTATGCTCTGGTGGTTATTTTGGGAGGCAGCGGAAGACGGTGCTGGGGGTAACCCATCCTGCAGGGCGAGCTGCTGGCCTCTGTCCTCCCTGGGGAGCCACGGGCCACCTGGTCCAGCACCTTCATTCCGGCTTCTGAGCCTGAGGCTCAAGGTCACATGAGTGGTGGTGACGGAGGGGCAGGGTGCAGACCAAACCCGGGTGTCCTGACTCCAGGACCCTGGTCGCATTGTGTTGTGAGGACAGGCAGCTGCCATCGCAGCCGATGACGCTGTGCTGATCCGTACCCGTCAGAGCCCAGCGGGCGGTTCTGATGAATACAGTCCACCTAAACCATCACCTGGGCTCAAGCTGCAGCCTTCACGGCGACATCTTCTGCCATTAAGACGGAGTTCGCACCCCGATAGGGAGGCAGAGACAGGCAACGGTCCACTGAGGGAGAGAAGACACTTTGAGGGGCGGCCCCGGAACATCATGAAATTCAAGCTTTCTGGGGAGGGGGGTGCACACGGACACAATGCCAACAGCTCAGCCATTTTGAAGCAAAGTCCTTTCCCCCCGGTGACTTTGTCTTTCTCTTCCGAGTGAGAACATCTGGCCGTTCACTTCTTCTCAATGACATTTCTCTCAGAACGCTGTTTCTGGGCTTTTATAACAGAGGAGAGCCAAGCAAAGGAGGAATGAGCCAAGAGGGAGGGGGTCGAGCTGAGGGGTCCTTGTTTCTGAGCCCCGAGGCCCACTGAACAGTCAGAGCGTCTGCGCTGATGCCCCTTTGCTTCTCTGGATTAAGTCCTGGTGCCCTTTAGGGGGTCAATGTCCCCGCAGTGCTGAGCGCAGAGCAGCTGCTGCCTGAGGAGCTGGGCCGCAGCATCCACGCCTCACTATCCAGCCACAAGGGCCACACACCGGGTGCAGGTGCCGGCCCGCGCCCAGGAGGCTGGAATCACAGGCCACCTTCCCCAGGCCGGCAGCCAGCGGCGGCAATAACGACCACCTTCCAGGAGGCGGCGCCACAGGAAGGTGCCCTGAGCAGGTCCCTGCAGCTTCCCTGGTCCAGGATCACTCCCGTTATCCACGTGCTTCTGCGGAAGGTCACACTGTGCTGTAGGTGAAAAGACAGGTTCTCAGGAGAGGCTCCTGGGTGGCCGGAAGGGCCAGCCTCCCAGTGGCCGGGAAGGGGCCGTGCTGTCTGGGTTCTGTCCCAAGTCCGCACAGGTGGGGACTCGTGGTCCTGGGAGTTCGTGCCCCTCCAGCTCTCGGTCCTCACGAACAGCCTCTGCTTCTGCCCCGGGGACCGGCCCTTGCAGCCAGGCATCGTTCAAAGGGAGCTGATGGCCGTTTTCCTCTGGTTCCCTTTTTCTGTGCAGCGCAAAAGACATGAAGTACCGGTTGGGGGTGCTCCTGCAGAAGTCGGACCCCTGCGAACACAGCCCTTCACAGGGCAAGAAGGACAAGCTGGTGGTTTGCCAGAGGTGAGAGGGGCTGGGGGCCCCGCAGCAGCAGCCGCCTGATGACAGGAACATTGCAGAACGAGGGGGCGAGGGCCCCGGTTAAGCTCGACTCGAATGAGACAGCCGCCGTCTTCACGGAGAGAATGCGGCACCTGACGCGTCCGTGCCCACAGGGGATGGCGCCGGAACCAGCAGTGGGGTCGTCACAAGGGCAAAAACAGAATCTGCATTTTATTTAGACTCTTTTTTTAAAAAAAAATATTTTCTCTTTATTGGTTTTAGGGAGAGAGAGAGAGAAACATCGATGAGAGAGAACATCGCCTGGCCGCCTCCTGCATGCCCCCCACTGGGGATGGGGCCCACAACCTGGGCATGTGCCCTGACTGGGAATCGAACCGGTGACCTCTTGGTGCAGGGTCAACGCTCAACCACTGAGCCACACCAGCCGGGCTTTATTTAGACTCTTGAATGGCTCCTCCCGGTTGGGGTTGTGGCATTCAGGTTGTTCTTTTTCTCTAGGGTGAGCCAAGAGGAAGTCAAAAAGTGGGCGGAATCCCTGGAAAACCTGATCAGTCATGAATGTAAGTCCCCCCGCCCCCCAGGATGGGGTCAGGGCGCTCTGCACACCCACCTGCTCTCACAATACACGGCAGACTCGTGAGTCAGCCTGTTGGACACGGGCCCCGGAGCTTCCTCGTCCACAGTGGAGTCTCCTGTGACGCCTCCGTGGGGAGGGTGGAGGGGGAAACCCAAATACTGAAACTTGTTGCAGAATCAACCCCGGGTCCTCCTCCCCATCACGCTGAAGCGCAGAGTGTGGCTGGGATCCACTCGACACCAGCGTAGATGAGGGTTACCTGAGCCCAAGTTAACCCCACAGAAGGGGTGTGGGCTGGTTCGAACCGGCCTTGTTCCCGCCGGCGCCTGGGCTCGTCACCCAGCGAGGTGACGCCGCGGCTCCCCCCCCCCCCCCTCAGGCGGGCTGGCGGCCTTCCGCGCCTTCCTCAAGTCCGAGTACAGCGAGGAGAACATCGATTTCTGGGTCAGCTGTGAGGAGTACAAGAAGATCAAGTCGCCCGCCAAGCTGAGTCCCAGGGCCAGAAAGATCTACGACGAGTTCATCTCCGTCCAGGCAGCCAAGGAGGTGGGTCTCGGGGTGCAGAAGTGTGGGTCTCGGGGGTTCCTGGAGGTGGCCGTCAGTGGCTCTGCGGGTCACAGGGTCAAAGGAAACGAGGGAGCACGGACCTGCTTATTATCCTCGTCACAACCCAAGTAGATCCGTGGAGGAAAAAGCCCTTTTATCCAGACTTAGTTGAGTTTCCCGCGAAGGTGCCTGGGGTGTGAGAAAGGACAGGTGCCCCCCACCGAGTGTGGGGCCCAGTTCCTGCCCTGCCCCTGGGCACCGGGACACTCTCACGTCCCACCGAGCCTCCCCTCGCCAGGGTGCGACATCTAACCTGGCCCGGCCTCTGCCTCAGGTCAACCTGGACTCCTGCACCAGGGAGGAGACCAGCCGCAAGGTGCTGGCGCCCACGGCCACCTGCTTCGACGAGGCCCAGAGGAAGATCTTCCACCTGATGGAGAAGGACTCCTACCGTCGCTTCCTCAAGTCCCGCTTCTACCTGGAGCTGGCCCACCCTCCCGGCTGCGGGTCCGAGAAGCAGAAAGGGGCCAAGCGCGCTGCGGACTGCCCGTCCCTGGTGCCCCAGTGCGCCTGACTCCCAGGCGGCGAGGGCTGAGGCCAAGACTGTGCCGCGAACCCCAGGCCACACGTGGTCCGTGGGCGTGGCCACACGTAGCCTAGTCTCCACGCTGCTGCCGTGCGCCCCTCGCTAGATTTAGCCTGTGTTTGCGCCTCCGTCAGGCAGGCCCTCGTTCCGTCCAGCGTCCCCATGTTCCTTTCGGGTGCCCTGTGAGCACGTGTCCAAGTGCCGGCCGACGGCCTGGGTGTCTCCGTTGTTGGAGGTTCCCTTTGCCCGGCGGTCGGCCACAGGTGGTCGGTGGGGGGGCCCGCTCCGCGAGACGCCCCCAGGCCTGTGGGTTCTGTTAGCCAGGACCCGCTCCAGACTCTAGGCGTGCAGGTGAGGGTGGTCTACTGTGTGCACACACGTGTGCGTGTGTGATGTGTGTATGCGCACACAGTCCTGTAGGAATGGATGGAAGGACCCCGGTGCTCATCACCGGTGAGCACACACTCGCACACACGTCCCGAGCCCCGGACAGGACACCTGGAGCCAGCTCTGTGCTGCTGACCAGGGGGGTGGCTCTGTCACTGTCCAGGGGTCTCCCTGGAGACACATCCAGGGGACGTCATGCCTGATTCAATCATGACAGCCTCCCAGCGGAGCAGTGTTCTAAGCACACATGTCACCATCTCGTCCCTGATGTGCAGGGCTGCCCTGGGCTGAGTCCCCAGCTGCCGGCCGCCCCTCTCTGCCTGGGGCCGTGATGCGTGGCCTTCAGCAGCTGGGTGGGGTGGGGGCGGGGCTGGGAGGTGGGTGCCAGGTGTCTGGACTGTGTGAGAAGCACAGGCTTCATGTACTGTAGGATGTACCGCAGGGCGTACCGTAGGACTTACTATAGGATGTACCGCAGGACGTACTGTAGGGTGTGACTGAGGAAGGGCCGGGGCTCAGAGCTCGGTCCCCTTCGCCCCCTCCTCCCCTGACCAAGGTGCTCTCCCCGTCCGTGTTTTCCCGAGAGGGCAGCCGTCCCCCGAGGCTCCCTGGTTCACGGTGGCCTTTGTCTGTGTCCCGTTGGCTCCTGGCTACATGCCGATGCTCTCAGCCAGGCCCCCCAAAGGTGACGTTTTATAAGGGAACACGTCTCTGCAAACCGAGGCGCCCTGGGGAGTCGCTGGTCCATGTGCCCCCCACGCATCGGGGCTGCCGGCTCTGACGGACGCAAGCGACGGAGAAGAGGGTGGTCGCGTAGGAACTACTGCAGGGAACTTGGACGGCACGTGAAATACTTGAAGATTTCTCACCATCATGTCTGGTGTTTGTGTCTCGTCCCGTGTCGCTTGGGGAGGGGCAGGGCGGCCCCTGTGTGGCTGTGCCTGGCCGGGGCGTCCTACCCTCGTTGTCCTGAAGCCACCATCTGTGCATCGCCCACGGGCCAGTCCCTGCGTGGGCACCACACGTGTGAGCACCACCAGCCGTGAAGCCACCTGGCGCCTGCCCGCGAGCCCGCTGTCCTGAGACGCACGGCGGTCGGCCTCTGGCGGTTCCCCAGCATATCCCCGGCCCCTCCCCGGCGTCCTGTGTGCGACACACACTCCACAGCCTCCTCTGGACCCCGGGGTGTGACCGTTGTAACTGTCCGACTCAGGCTGTGCCGGGCTCCCAGACGGCCCCTCGCGGTCGGTCTGCAGGCTTGTTCTGAACGAGAGTAAATTATTTTGTGTAACGTCCCCCGTGTGCTTTTCGATTGCGTGTTGCTGTTATTTCATCAGCATTTCACAGAGGGGGCACCTGGTCCTGGCCCGAGGTCCTGGCCCTCGTGCACGGGTGGTCCTGAGGCGCCACAGGTAGCCCCAGGTGTCGGGGTGCCGACAGGTCCAGACCCTGTTCTCCCGGCCAGTGCTGGGCAAGGGGCACAACGAATGGGGTGTGTTCCCCAGTCCCTGCCACCTCTCTGCTGCCCCCGTCCGGGAGCTGGGCGCCCTGGCTCCGGAGTCTCGCCGGCCCCCGGCAGGAGGGGTGGGCTTGCGGGTTGACCTGGGCCTGGGAGCAGGGCCAGGGGGTGGCGGGGCTGCAGGTGCTTGAGGGGCACACCCCAGGCCCCCGCTTTCCTCCGTTTCCAGATTTTCTTCCCTGCAGGGAGGGTGCAGACCTTTCCCTCAGGGGAAGCCCAGGACCCTCAGCCTAGGTCATACGTAGGGGTGAACACGTCTTCACAGGGACGGCCACGGACCAACGCTCACCCGACCAGTCACAGCCTGAACCCAGCGGCTCCGTCCCTTTGATTCTGGGGTGAATTCAGAGCCACTGCTGGCTTAGCACAGGGTGCCCCCGACTTGCTGTTTATCGCTGCCCCCTGCTGTCCACTGCTGATTCTCTAGCATCCGGACGCCACTCAGTAGTACAACATGAGAAAGGAAAACACCGGCTTTTCTTCTGTGTGACGGACAACAGGCAAACTGAGTGACATGGGTGGGAAGGGCTCACCTGAAAATGGGGTGTCACTCCTAAGACGCTCCCTGCAAAGGGACAGCGCGGGAGCTGGGCCGGGCCCCTGCGTCTCAGGCTCCCCGACGAGGCAAAAGGCCCCCCCAGAGGGAGAAACCAGACCTTAGCGGCCGGGTCTGACGTCGACAGCGCTCACTAACCATCTGCGCTGAGCGCTTCACCCTGTTTTATTTAAGCCTGAGAACAAAATTCTGACCTGGATGCTCTCAGTGCCTGTCCATAGGGGTGCGGAAAGGTGACACGGGGAAGGTAGGAAATGTGCCCACAGACGGGAGAAGCGGCAGAGCAGGGTCCGAGCTGAGGCCCAGAGCGGGGTCCAGCCGAGGCCCAGAGCGGGGTCAGAGCCGAGGCCCGGAGCAGGGTCCGAACCGAGGCCCAGAGCAGGGTCAGAGCCGGGGTCAGAGCCGAGGCCCAGAGCAGGGGTCAGAGCAGGGTCCGAGCCGAGGCCCAGAGCGGGGTCCGAGCCGAGGCCCAGAGCGGGGGTCAGAGCAGGGTCAGAGCCGAGGCCCAGAGCGGGGTCAGAGCCGAGGCCCAGAGCAGGGGTCCGAGCCGAGGCCCAGAGCGGGGTCCGAGCCGAGGCCCAGAGCGGGGGTCAGAGCGGGGTCCGAGCCGAGGCCCAGAGCGGGGTCCGAGCCGAGGCCCAGAGCGGGGTCCGAGCCGAGGCCCAGAGCGGGGGTCAGAGCAGGGTCCGAGCCGAGGCCCAGAGCGGGGGTCAGAGCAGGGTCAGAGCCGAGGCCCAGAGCGGGGTCAGAGCAGGGTCCGAGCCGAGGCCCAGAGCGGGGTCAGAGCAGGGTCCGAGCCGAGGCCCAGAGCGGGGGTCAGAGCCGAGGCCCAGAGCAGGGTCCGAGCCGAGGCCCAGAGCGGGGTCCGAGCCGAGGCCCAGAGCGGGGGTCAGAGCCGAGGCCCAGAGCAGGGTCCGAGCCGAGGCCCGGAGCAGGCCCAGGGCCGAGGCCCAGCGAGCCAGACCAGAGGAGAGAGGCCGGGCAGCAGGGGAGGATAAAGGAGGGAGATGGGGACGGACAGGAACTTGGAAGACAGAGAGGAAGGGACATGAAGATGCCGCTGTGAGGAGGACGAGGGCCAGGCTCTCGGGGGCTGGCTGGTGCCCCCGCCCTGGTACCCGAGCTGGGCAGGTGGACCGTCCCTCAGCACAGGGAGCCCGGCAGCGAGGGGTGAAAACCGGGCCAGGTTTCCCGTAAGAATCCCGTTTCCAGGTCCTGTTCTTCCTGTTTCTGAAGTCCGCCAGACCCCAACCGCGCTCCGGAGCAAGTCTGCTTATGAAAAGTATTTTTACTGCCTGAAGGAAGAAGAATAGCTCGGCTGTCCCGGGTCAGCCCTGCGCTGGGGGCACGGCGCATAGGGACCCCCAGGCATCCGGCCCCTGCAGGGGTCATGCGGGGACAGGACGCCGGGTGGGGACACAGGTCCCCACTGCTCCCGCCCGTCCTCCAGGAGGGACACGGCGATGACCGCAGGGCTGGGGCGAAGGGGGCGGCCCCCACGCGTCTGGCCAAGGCGACAGCAGACACGCAGACGGCTCGGCCGTGGGAAGGCTGAGCTGACCTCCCAGGGTTGACTGGGGTCATCGCTTCTGGAGAAAGTAAACCCAGAGCTTTGTTGATTTCTTTTACGAGAATTCCCTGTCCAATCCCCAGCTTATTCCACCGGCCAGCTGGCCTCTCTGATGCTGGCTTCCGCCAGGACGGTGCACCCCGAGCTGTGGCCTGTCGGCAGCGGCGCACACGGGAAGCCGTCCGAGCGCGTCACAGCGGGGACGAGGCCCCCAGCTTTCTGCCGCCTCACCCAGGGGCACCTCTGTCCGCGCGGTGGGGCTGCCCTCGTCTTGTCACCGAGCGTTTCGTGCCTTTGGGGGTGGTCAGGCCGGTTTGCAAGTCCAGGTCAATGTCTCGCCCAAGTCCCATCTTGGAGATGACCTTAGCTGACCTGAGTCCCTCCAACGAGAAACTCCGGACGCATGCCCGATTCTTCCTCAGCTACCCCCAAGCCCCGTGGTGCCCCCGACTCTGCAGAACTCCTCTGGGGGACCCGCTCCACGCCATCCTGCCTCTCCCCTGGCCTGGACACAGCAGGCTCTTTGCCCGGCCTGACTTCTGGTCGCTCAGCCTCCAGACTGAGGCCCTCCGATCCCCTCCGGTCAGGGCCTGAGACCCGCAGCTGAGCTCACTCTCCCGCCGGAAACATGCGCCCACCTGGGAGGTCGGGGTGTGGACGTGATGCCAGCTCATGGAGCACCTGGCCTCCCCCTCACCAGCCCCCCAATGCTGCCGACGCTCCCGAGGGCGGGGTGACGGCCTCTAGGCTCCACCGCCCAGGTCCTTTGCTTCACATGAGCCTCTGGCCCGATTCGGGCGCTGCTCTGGGCCCCTGGTTCTCTGCCTCGCGCCATTGCAGCCCCTTGTTTCCTGACCACTGGTCTCCGCGGGTCTCCCAAACCACACTGCGAGGCCCGGAGGCCACCGTCCACATCCCACCGCGCCGTATAGCCCTGCATCAGCGATGACACTGACCGAGCCGCCTCCTCCCACACGCAGACAGGAAGGGACACGCTAGCTGTGCCGAGTGTGACAGGCCCCGTGCTCTGGGAGCCCGCGGTGGCCTTGCTGTCCCTCCTGGAGAATGGACGGGTGCCTGGGGGCTGGGGAGAAATGACCAAGCAGAAGAACCGGCTGGGGTCCCGTCACAGAGAAGAAGGGTGTGCCGAGGGTCCCAGGACTGCAAACGCTGTTCCTCGTGTTATACGTGCAGTGAACCAGAGCTCGCACAGCGTGATGGGGTCACACCGGGCGCTGCTCGAGGGGCTCACGCTGCCGTGGGCTCCGCTGCCCACTCCCTGTGCACCGACTCAGCCAAGGCAGGCGGCAGCCCACAGAGGGGCGCTGGCCCTTCTCAGCCCCTTTTACAGCCGATAACGGATGCGTGAGGGGAAGTGCCTGGCCCGAGACCACACGGCTCCTCGCAGCGCAGCCGGCGTGGCCCCAGGGCGGCGTGGCCCCAGGGCGGCGTGGTCCCAGGGCGGCGAGGCCCCAGGGCGGTGTGGCCCCAGGGCGGGTGGCCCCAGGGCGGCGTGGCCCCAGGGCGGGTGGCCCCAGGGCGGCGTGGCCCCAGGGCGGGCGTCCTCGCTGCTGTGTCTCCCGCGTGAGCCTGGGGTGGACGGGTTGATCCGTCCACAGCTGTGCCTGGAGGCTCCTTCCCCTGACCTCGTGCCGCCCCCGGCTCACGCGCCCCTGTGTCCGTCTCCTC